GGGCCTCCTGGAATCACAGGGCGGGGCCAAAGGTGTGAGTCAGGTGCTGGAGATTCAAATATGGCTCCTGCCTGCTGGCTGTGTGTGGGGAGAATTCGCCACAGGAGCAATGGCCTCTGCCAGCCCTTCTGCCTGGGAGGTAGCTGCCCGTCCACCTCTCGCCCCGACTTCAGGCAGGTTAGTTCTTCCCCGAGTGTCCCAGGTCCTTTCAGGCTGCTGCCCGGCGCTGGGCTCAGAGGGAGCGTCCGAGTGAGTCCGTGCCGGGCCCTTTGAGAGGAGCTGCTGGGGCTCCCGCAGCCTCCGAGACCCTCAGGACAGTCCCCACTGGTTTCCTGCNAGTGCGCAGGCCCTTAAAGAGGAGCTGCTGGGGCTCCCGCAGCCTCCGGGACCCTCAGCCACAGTCCCCGCTGGTTTCACAGCCCGAAGTTGTGGTACTTCTCTTCCCAGCCCCCTGGATCCCTGGGTTGGGGCCCGATGTGGGGCTGTGACCCCTCACTCCTCTGTGAAACCTCCACGTGGGAGATATTCTCCTAAGTTTGACCCTCGGCACCAGGTGTGGGCTCCTCGATCCAGCCCCGATCCGCCCGCGTCTCCACCCTTCCTACTGCCCTTGGTGCTCCTTCAGTTCCCTGGTTGTAGGGCTTCTGTGCAGCCAGATCTCAGGAGGCTCTGAGTGATGGTGGTTCTGTATTTTAGTTGTCATTTTGATATGGTTTCGGGAGGCAGCAGGTACAGCTGTTACTTACGCCACCATCTTGTTTCCTCTCCTCCTGTATATTCTTAATATTAATATTTTATCAGATATATGATTGACAAACACTTTCTCCCTTTCTGTAGGTTACATTTTTACTCTGTTGATACTGTCTTTTGATACACAGAAGTTTTCGTTTTCGTGAAGTCCTATTTGTCCATTTGTCCTTTTGTTACCTGTGTCTTTGGTATTATATCCAAGAAATATTTGCCAAATCCAATGGCATGAAGCTTTTGTCTACAAATCCTGCCATTTATGACAACATGATGAACCTGGAGGACATTATACTAAGTGAAATATAACAGATACAAAAGACAAATATTTCATAATATCATTTAGATGATATTAATACATCAAAGTTACAGTAACAGGATGGAAATGGGAAATGTTGGTCAAAAGGTACAAACTTTCAGATATAAGATAAATAAGTTCTGGAGACATACAGGTCTCCACAAGTACAGTATGGTAACTATATTTAATAATAATTATAAATTTGAAATTTTCACAGAGTAGATCAAAAGTATTTTTATCACCAAAAAGACAAAAGTAAGTATGTGTGGTGATGGCTGTGTTAATTAACTTGATTGTGGTAACCATTTCACAATGTATACACATACCAAAACATCATGATCTATACCATAAACATATATATAATTTTTAATATGTCAGTCATACTTCAATAAAGCAAAAAAATAAAAGATAAATAGAAAACAAACAAGATGTTAGATATAAACCCAAATATATCAGTAATTATGTAAATGGATGAAATACAATTTGGATGCTACTTTTAAGAGTGTGTGTGTACGTTTGTGTACGTTTTTGCCTATTATACATCTGTGTGGAAAATATCTCATCAGGGTTCTCTCTGGGTAATAGGAATTTTTTTTCTTCCACTTATTTGTATTACCTGATTTCCTAATGGAAACTTATTGCCATTGAGTGAAATATGAAGAATTAAAAACTTAAGATGTCAGAGAAAAATATTAAATGATTATTTTTAAAAGCATAATAGTCTTCAAACCTTTTATTATCAAACAGTGAACATGTTGCAGTGATATTTTAAGGCAGGTTCTGAATATGTACTTGATATATGGTCTTTAAAGGGTACAGAAGTAATTACTTGTGATGGTCATAGTTCAGAATGTCCATACAAATACTAATTGGAGAATTTATTTTTTTTTAAATATATCTTTATTGATTTCAGAGAGAGGAAAGGAGGGGGAGAGAGAGAGACAGAAACATCAATGATGAGAGAGTCATTGATCGGGCCCACNATTAATACATTAGTATTTGTATTCCATACAAATACTAATTGGAGAATTTATTTTTTTTTAAATATATCTTTATTGATTTCAGAGAGAGGAAAGGAGGGGGAGAGAGAGAGACAGAAACATCAATGATGAGAGAGTCATTGATCGGGCCCACAAACCCGGGCATGTGCCCTGACCGGGAATCGAACCCCGATCGCCTGGATCCTAGGTCGACACTCAACCGCTGAGCCACGCCCGGCCAGGTGGAGAATTTAAATGATTTTGATAGTTCTGTGGCTTAGAAAAAATACATCTTACAAATTTTGTATTTCCTACCAAGTGTTTTACGACTTTGACTGGTGTAGTTAATCTTTCCTGTTTCTCAGGATACTGTGATACATATTTTTCTATTATTCTGCTTAGCATTTTCTCCTCAGATCATAATTATGTGTGGATATCTCTTTATTCTTTGCAAGTATCTATACCCAAAGACCCAGTTTCAGATATAGGCAGTAGTGAGAAATATGAGGACTTGAAAAAAACACCTACTAGCCTATGTCCCCACCATTTCATAAAATAAAGAACATTTTAACCCTCAAAAGAGAGTTATTATCTTCTGTTAGGGCAAGTTCTTTAACTTGAATAAGTTCAGCTTAATGCAGCATACAATATATAATAATTTTTTTCTCACGATAAAACAGTTCATCAGAATTATTGAAGCTTTCCTGTGAGTTGCTATTATTCCTCTGGCCAGTTTATTGGAAGCCACTGTTACCACGCTGCCTCAGAACAATACACCTGACCATCAGCGAGAAAGAGCAAGGTGTCTTCCAAGTTTGGAATTGTATTTGACATTCCCCAAATAAAATAGTCTGAGGCTCTTGTCAAAATAAAATGTTTTGTTTTGTGCTTTTTTTGTGTGTACCTGTGTGTGTGTAGGGTCAATATGCTGGCACAATCCCAAATGGATGTTCAGCCTAGCCAGTACCCTGCCTTGGAGGGCCAAACTCTAAGACAAGACATGAAGCAGAGTATGCTTAGGCACAGAAACTACAGCACACCAGTTATTTCCAGGTTGAATGAATTTGCTACCATTGAATTTAATACTGGGGTGAGCACATTTACTAATAATTTAAACACTATATTTGGCTTGGGTTTGAGATGTACAATTTGTTTAATATCTGAACTTAAAAGATGTTTGGAGTTTAGCCATAGAAGACCCAGCCAGATATAATTTCCTGATGCAGGAGAAATGGCTTCTAAGTAAAAGACAGCTGCTACTCTCACCAATGACATTTTTCAGAATCACTTTGAAAAGTTCTCATTCATTTTCTCATAAATGTTCCCTTTGTTCAGATGTAACACAACACTCAAGAGTTATGACAGTTGTGATCAGATGATATTGGATGATCAGATTAGGGGCACTTTTTTCACTATGAATTATAGTTTTGTGTATTAAAACCTAGCAAATGGTAATACTTCCATATAGTTTTATGGGGATATTTCCTTTTAAATGGAGAAATGCAAAGATGATTGCTTAATATTGAGTAAAAGTAATAAATATAATTTTGTTTTTCTAATCAGAAGTACTATAAGTGTATTAATGAATAAAATCATAAGATTTTTCATGTAGTTAGATCAGAAGCCAGATTCTAATTCTTTCCCTTAATAGCTTGCACAAATAAAACTTTTCAGACCATCTTGCTGTTTTCTTGGGTCCATTTCAAGGATGTATTTCTATACATTTGCTGTAAAAAATTGAATTATTTATATTAATGGGTTCCAGTGTGAATATTGTACTTGAGTCACCAACAGTTGTACTGCTATATTTTTCTTCTCTTTTCAGCTTCCACTTTACTGCCAACAATTTTATTCCATGTTTATGAAGAGAGCACTATTCAGTTGGCGCAACCGGAAGTTGATGTTGCTACAGATACTAGTAATTTTGGTTGTCACTACATATCTGTTAACAACTAATAACTTAGTATCTGAGCTGTCCAGCAGAAAAATGGATTTGAGTCAGTATGGTCGAACAATTGTGCCTTATTCAGTTACAGGGCAGTCTGATTTGGCTATGAATCTCATAAAGAACCTTAAGATTTTTCTAAAGCCTAAGAATCAAGAACTTCGTGAAGTGCAAGGTAAGATCCATAGGGGAAAAAGAGACTGCTGCTCTATGAAGACACATTTGTATCGCTTGCAAAGAAGAAACTTAACTGTGGCGTTTAGCTACCCATTCCTTTATTTCCCTACTAATTCCCTGAGAAGCAGCTAAATCAGAGGCAACACATGTACACTGAAGACAACTGGCCACAAAAGTAAGTAATCGAGGTGTTTTGGCTCTAGGTGGCCTTTCAGCTAATTGTATCACCTTTCAGAGGATGGGTAAAAGAGCCAAAATACTATGGTGTGAAATTTAGCATAGATGTTTATTCTAACAAGAATACAAGTATGTTTCTCTAATCTCTCATAGGGTGAAATGTTGGCTTCAGGAGGGGGAGGTTGTCCTTTAATCTAGTATACCAGCCATTCTAAAAACAAGTGACTGAAGGCTTAATACATTGACCCCTCCAACTAAGTTTTTGAAGATAGTATAAGTAACTATACTTAATTTGTTCAGTGCTTATTTTGGTAAAAAGCATATTGAACACTTTTTCTACATTTTTGGTTTTGATGCTAAAAACACTCCTTTTATGTAGCTCGTTTGTTATCTATTGCTGTGTAATAAATTGCCCCAAAACTTAGCGGATGGAGAATTTTAATTTTTGGTATGGTGAAATGAACCCATTCTCCAACAAAAGCAACAAAAATACTTAGGACATAATATTTTTTCCATTTTTAACCATTTTAATTTTTCAACTACAGTTGACATAAAATATTAGTTTCAGGTGTACACCCCAGTGATTAGACATTACATAACTTACTAAATGATCATCCTGATAGATCTCACACCCATCTGACACTATACGTAGTTACTAGAATATTATTGATTATATTCCCTGTGCTGCACTTCACACCCCTTGACTTTTCTGTATCTGCCAACTTGAACTTCTTAATCCCGTCACTTTTTTCACGCGTGCACTCAATCCCCCTCCCATCTGGCAGCGGTCAAAATGTTCCCGATGTCTATGATTCTATTTTGGTTCTGCTTGTTCATTTATTTTGTTTTTTAGATTCAATTGTTGACAGACATGTATTTATTGACCTTTTATTGTTCATCTTTTTATCTTTTCTTTTTCTGCTTCTTAAAAACCCTTCAATATTTCATGTAATACGGGTCTGGGGGTGATGAATTCCTTTCTCTTTTTCTTGTCTGGGAAGATCTTTACTGCCCTGTGATTCTAAATGACAGCTTTGCTGGGTAGAGTAATCTTGATTGTGGGTCCTTGCTTTTCATCACTGACTATTTCTTGCCACTCCCTTCTGGCCTGCAAAGTTTCTGTTGAGAAATCAGCTCTCATTGTTATGGGACCTCCCTTGTAGGTAACTCACTGCTTTTCTTCTGCTACCTTCTTCTTTGTCTTTAAACTTCTGAATTTTATTTTATTTTTTTTTTGAAATACATCTTTATTGATTTCAGAGAGAGGAAAGGAAGGGGGAGAGAGAGAGANACCTTCTTCTTTGTCTTTAAACTTCTGAATTTTATTTATTTTTTTTTTTTAAATACATCTTTATTGATTTCAGAGAGAGGAAAGGAAGGGGGAGAGAGAGAGATAGAAACATCAATGATGAGAGAATCATTGATCGGAGCCCGCAACCCGGGCATGTGCCCTGACTGGAAATCAAATCCTGATCTCCTGGATCCTAGGTCGATGCTCAACCGCTGAGCCATGCCCGGCTGGGCAAACTTTTGAATTTTAAATATGACGTTTCTTGGTATGGGCCTCTTTGGGTTCCTCTTCTTTGGGACTCTCTGCACTTCCTGGACTTGTATGTCTATTTCCTCCACCAAGTTACGGAAGATTTCTGTCATTTTTTTCAAATAGGTTTTCAATTTCTTGCTTCCTCTCTTCATGTTCCAGAACCCCCATGATGCATATGTTTGTACACATGAGGTTGTCCTAGAGGCTCCCTACACTGTCCTGATTATTTTTTATTTCTTTTTCTTGTTGCTGTTCTGATTGGGTATTTTTTGCTTCCTTATCTTCCAAATTGCAGATTTCACTCTTAGGTTCATCTACTCTACTGTTGATTCCTTGTAAATTATTCTTCATTTCAGTTATTGTCTCCTTCATTTCTTTTTGTTTCTTTTTGTTTGTTTTGTTTAAAATATTACAGATGTCCCTTTTTCTCCCCAATGACCCATTCCACCCTCTCCTTCATTTCTAACTGGTCCTTTTTTATGTTGTTAAGGTTCTCACTGAGTTCATTGAGCATCCTTATAAAGTGTTTTAAACTCTGCGTTGAGTAGATTGTCTCCATTCTGTTTAGTTCTTTTTCTGGAGTTTTATTCTGTTCTCTCATTTGGGACATATTTCTTTGTCTCCTCCTCCTTTTGGCCGCCTCCCTGTGTTTATTTCTGTGTATTAGGTAGAGCTGCTATGTCTCCCAGGCGAACATACTAGGTCTTCTGTAGGGTCTAGTAGTACAGCCTTTCTGATCATCCTAGCTGGGCACTTGAGGTACACCTCCCATGTGGGCTGTGTACACCCTCCTATTGTAGTTGAGCCTCAATTGCTGTTGGACCATCAATGGGAGGTATTCACCCCCAGGCCCACCAGCTGAAAGGAATGGCTGTGACCACTGACCACCAGTTTTTTTTAGTTTATCTTTATTATTGAAAGTTTTAAAGATATACCCCTTTTTTCCCCCCATTGAACCCCCCACTCCAACCCTCCCCCCAGGCCTTCAATGCACTATACCATGTGATCATGGGTTATGCATATATGCATATAAGTTCATTGGTTAATCTTTTCCCACGCCCCATCACCGTTCCCTCTGAAATATATCAGTCTGTTGCATGCTTCAATGTCTCTGGGTCTATTTTGTTCATCAGTTTATTTTGTTCATTAGATTCCACATGTAAGTGAGATCGTATGTGTTTGTCTTTCTCTCATTGGCTTATTTAGCTTAACATAATTTTCTCCAGGTCCCTCTATGTTGTCTCGAAGGGTAAGAGATCCTTCTGTTTTACAGCTGCATAATATTCCATTGTGTAAGTGTACCTCAGCTTTTTTTATCCACTCCTCTACTTATGGTCACTTAAGCTGTTTCCAGATCTTAGCTACAGTAAATAACGCTGCTCTGAACATAGAGGTGCATATAGTCTTTCTGATTGGTGTTTTGTGCTTCTTAGGTTATATCCCTAGAAGTGGAATCACTGGGTCAAATGAAAGATCCATATTTAATTTTGAGGAAACTCCACACTATTTTCCATAGTGGCTATACCAGTCTGCATTCCCACAAGCAGTGCACGAGCTTTCCTCCACACCCTCCCCAGTACTTGGTGTTTGTTGATTTATTGATGGTAGCCATTCTGGCAGGTTTGAGGTGATACCTGATTGTCGTTTTAGTTTGCATCTCTCTGATAATTAGTCATGTTGAGCATTTTTTCACATGTCTCTTGGCCATTTGTGTGTCCTCTCTGGAGAAGTGTCTATTTAGGTCCTCTGCCATTTATTTATTTATTTATTTATTTATTTATTTATTTATTTATTTATTTAGAACACTTTTTTAATTGAATTGTTTGTCTTTCTCTTGAGTTGTATGAGTACTTTATATATTTTGGAAATTAACCCCGTATCAGACATATCATTGGCAAATATGTTCTCTCATACAGTGGTTTCCCTTTTCAATTTGATGCTGGTTTCTTTTGCTGTGCAGAAGCTTTTTAGTTTGACGAAGTCCCGTTTGTTTATTTTTTCCTTTGTTTCTCTTACCCCAGGCAATGTATCAGAGAAAATTCTGCTACATGAGGTGTCTAATATTTTGCTGCTTACGTTTTCTTCTAGGACTTTTATGTTTTCACAACTTACATTTTATCCATTTCGAGTTTATTCTTGTGTAGACTGTAAGTGGGTGATCCAGTTTCATTTTTTTGCATGTATCTGTCCAATTATCTCAACATCATTTATTGAAGAGACTGTCTTTTTTATCAAATGTTAATTGAGCATAATGACTTGAATCAATTTCTGGGTTCTCTGTTCTGTTCCATTGATCTATATGCCTGTTCTTGTGCCAGTACTAGGCTGTTTTGTTTACAGTGGCTTTGTAGTATAGCTTGATATCCAGTATTGTGATCCCTCCAACTTTGTTCTTCTTTCTCAAGATTGCTGCAGCTATCCGGGGTCTTTTTTGGTTCTGTATAAATTTTTGAAGTGTTTGTTCTAGATCTGTGATGTATGCATTCGTATCTTAATAGGGATTGTATTGAATCTAGATTGCTTTGGGTAGTACGGACATTTTAAAGATGTTAATTCTACCAATTCATGAACACGATATATTCTTCCACTTGTTTATATCTTCTATCTCTTTTTTCAAAGTTCTGTAGTTTTTTGAATATAGGTCTTATCTCCTTGGTTAAGTTTATTCCAAAGTATCTTAATTTTTTGTTAACAATAGTAAATAGGATTGTGTTGTGTGTTTTAGTTTTAGTTTCTCTTTCTGTGAGTTCACTATCAGTCTATAAAAATACCATGGATTTCTGGGTGTTAATTTTGAATCCTGCTACATTGCCAAAATAATTTATTAAATATAGTAGGTTTTTGGTGGAGTCTTTAGTGTTCTCTATGTATAATATCACGTCATCTGCAAATAATGACAGTTTTACTTCCTCCTTTCCAATTTGGATGCCTTTTATTTATTATTCTTGTCTGATTGCTGTGGCAAGGACTATGCTGAATAAAAGTGGTGAGAACAGACATCCCTGTCTTGTTTCTGTTCTTAGGGGAATTTGTTTTCTTTTTTGCCCATTGAATATGATATTGACTGTGGGTTTGTCATGTATGGCCTTTATTATGTTGAGACATGATCCATCTATTCCCACTTTGCTGAGAGTTTTTATCAAAAATGGATGCTGGGTTTTGTCAGTGCTTTCTCTGTATCTATGGATATGATCATGTGATTTTTGTCTTTCAGTTTGTTTAAGTGATGCATCACATTTATTGATTTGCAAATATTGTACCAGCCTTGTATCGCTGGA